TTTAGATGAATGGTTTAAATCTTATTTGATGACACATTGGCTACAAACAGTTTGATAAATGATTTATATCTTATTTGATGACACATTGTCTAGAAACAGTTTTCACTGCTTTTCAAAGAACCTCTCATCCTTTCAAAACACTTTCTCTCGTCAAAAATTATTTCACTTTAAGAATACTTTTAATGGAGACTTTCTTTTTTTTTTTTTTTTTTTTTGTCTTCGCAATTATTTTTATCAGATTTTTATAAAATTTGTTTCACAACAATACTAATCTGTTGTTGAAAAAAACATGCTAAATCCTCTTTTTTTAAGTAGTTTAGATTCATCTGTTTAATCCGTTTAAACAACAATAAAGATACAATGAAAGTATGACAGCAGTTTGCTTTTATTGAAAAGTAGTTCTGACCTAGGTGTGGAAAGGAAGGTGAAAACAGTTTTAATTCTTGTACTTTCAAGAGGACATTTGTGAAATGTATTTTAATTTTTTTTTGTTTTTATAAAGCTATAATAACCATGGATTAATGGTCTTTATGCTAAATGGTAAATAGTAATTTAAAATTTTTCAATTCTTGTTAACGCTTTTGACAATAGTAAAAACTCTAAGAAGTGTTAAAATCTTGATGCTACGGAAACACCAAGTCAGAACAAGCTTTAAATAGAAAATTAATAATATTATCTACAGAATACAAATGCTACATGTAGCATAAAAGCTTTTTTAATAAAAGTTGTTGGTATTACATATTAGAACACTCATGTAACCCTATTTTCGAAAATAGTGATGGAATATCACAGTAATCAAAAACGTTTTGAGGTATAAGTAGCAAAAAACTAGCAATATTAAAATATATATATATATATATATATATATATATATATATATATATATATATATATATATATATATATATATATATATATATATATATATATATATATATATATATATATATATATTTATAATCAGTTAACCAATCAGACTGAAATTTTGAATCTTTAATCAGAAAATCATTCTATCTGAAGTTTTATTAAATTTATAAACAATGGTGTGTTTTATTGATGCAATATGAGGTTGAAGTCTCACTCAATTTGAACATCCAATTTTTTTTTCCGCAGAAAAAGTTAAAAGATTTCAAAATTGGCATGAAAGAATGAAATTGGCATGAAAGAATGAAATTGGCATGAAAGAATGAAATTGGCATGAAAGAATAAAATTGGCATGAAAGAATGAAATTGGCATGACGGAATGAAATTGACATGAAATACCTTGATGCTATTAAGTTACAATAATAATTTATATTCATGGACTTGTTTTTGAACTGATAAATAAAGATTTTTTATACTCTGCAGTAAAATAGGTTTCGACGCAGGTTTTGCATTTGATTTTGCAGCTGTTGACAGGCACTAAGTAGGGAAAGAGTGACCAGGGCCCTAGTCAACATAATGTTGAGAGATACAAATATACAAGTGTCGGTTTTATTTAAATATTCAACATTGGTTTGGATGAAACTTGATACAATCTAAAAAAAGTAAATAGATAAATTTGCAAAATATATGCTTTACTATAATGTACGAGATACAATTGTATAAATTTTAGAACCCCCTTATTTTTCATATAGGTATAGGAGTCTTAACCATCACTACTTGTATTCAGGGGCAAATCCAAACCACAAATTAAGAGGGTGATTTTTAGATTTCGTTTTATAAGTAATTGGTATGTAGTCTCTATATATTTCAAGGTAAATTCCCAACACAAAACGTTCTAGAACATTCACAGAACATGCTCGAACGTTCGTAACGTTCGTCGAACGTGCTTGAACGTTTTGTGTTAGCTGAGTTGGCTAAAAACATAGTGTATTTTTATTCCTTTTGATAAAAAGGAGATTTTAAAACTTTAAAATGTATGTTTTAAATAATGTGCTTCTTTTACAAATATAAAAATGGTCTAGCTAAGTTTGTTTTTACTTAAAACTAAGTAGAAAATGGGTTTTATTTCCAAAAGTTTTTTTTTGGAAATAAAACGTTTTAAAAAGCGACGTGAAGTGTTTTAAAGTGCCTGAAATGTTTTTTTCTTAACGTGCAGGTAATGTAATACTTCAGTTTAAAAGGTTATTTATTGACGTTTTGAAAAACACCAGCTCTCGACATTCTTGTTAAAAACAAATTCTCCTGAAAATGTGAAGCTACTTTAACCACATGTTATGTTTGTAATATTTTTATGCGATACCATTATAAAGGCAAATTTTTGTTTGTTCTAAAATGGTTTTTAGAACAAACAATCTTCACACGAAGTATAATTCTTAAAATGCAATCTACTTATGCATTTTAATGTCCGCCTATTCAACTGCACGTATTCTAACTTAATCGTCAGTAAATGTTGTAAATATCAAACTTTGCTTGAGAAACTCTTATCTCATGTTTTTATTTGAACACTTGAACCTAGTTTTTATTTTCCATAAGAGTAGTTTTAAAAACAGTTTTAAAAACAAATGCATTAATGTTATTTTTAGTTTAGTCTAAAAAAAATTTTATTGAGATAATTGAACTTATTATTGAGATAATTGAACTTATTATCGAGATAATTGAACTTATTAAAGGAGTATAACTAGCAAAATAATTATAACGTCTTATTCTAATTAACTAAACATTCAATATACTGAACAAAGTAAAAAGATATAACATTTAATTAAGATTAAAGATATATGTAAAATTAAGAAACTTTTTTTAAGCATCTAATAGTCTTTCTCCTCTCCTTTACACAATTTTGTCTAATAATTTGAACAAAATAGCGGAAATTTTGAGACTTTCAAGCTGATTAGTTTCGATTATTAATATTATTTAATTTTCAAAGTTTTGACAATAATTAACCTTAGAAAAAAGGTTATAGACCATTTTTTTACCTACGGTTTAACTAATTTTTTTAAAATTTTTTTAGTCAATATTTCTCACTTTAAAGAATAAAAATCTTATTTTAAGTCAATAACAAATTTGTGAATTTTTTTATTTATTTCAAATCTTATAGTTCTTTATTTTAATACTTATTTTTCTTTTTTTGTATTCGTTGTAGTATCTTCAAAGATTTAAAGATTTTTTTTAAATTAAAGATTTTTAAAAATGCGTTGTCGATGACAAAGCTAAAGATATAACTACTTATTTTTCTTTTAATGAACCTAATCTTTAATAACTCAATTTAGTTTGATTATAAATCGAGTTTTAATAGTTTGGTTTTTTCGCATAGTCTGAATTCCTAACCTTTTTATAACTTTACGATTTTATAGTCAAATTTTTATTATCTATATTATTAAATGCATTTATTCAATACTCTTAGAACGTGCGTAGACAACAGGCGATATAAAAAAATATAATGCGCTGTTTACATTGTCAAAATATTATTTCCAATAAACACTTTTTAAGTAAATAAATAGCCTTGTTTTAACTGTATTATGTTAACATAGCAAACTTCAGGCTTAGTCGTCTCTAAATAATCTTTTTTTTTAAGTTCTCTGAAATTATCATTAAATGATAAAAAAAAACCTCCTTTCATTTATTTGAACTTTCTTGTGACTTATCGTGACGAAAATTGCAAGCTGTTTTTATAAAAAATACTTCATGAGCGATTTTTTCAATTTTTTATTTAGTAAATTTGTTAATACAGAGAAAACAAAAAAATTCTTTAGATGTATATTTACATGTTGGGGTTTTTAAATTTATAGGCCTTTTTTTTTAGGCCGTGTCTGTCATCAGCTAATTCACAACAAAATAAAAAAAGGGGTAAATTTATAATTACACAGCGAAAATTTCAAAGTTAAAAACCCTTTATTTTGCTTTTATTATTTCTGTAAATACTTTACATTTTTTGTAAACAGTACTAAACGACTACATAAATAAAAGATATTAATTAGAGTTAATAAACCGATCAATCAATATAGTTCCGTTATTTAAGAATATTTTACAATTGCTTGTGTAATCTGTATAATACAAGTTAATTAAACATTTTTAACAGTAAAATATGACATAACTCTTAGAAGTATTTAATATAATTTATTTTGGAGTTATATAACACAGCTGTATAACCAATATTCTGTGAATAATGTATTTTTTTTTAGCTTTTTTTTTGTTTTGTTTTTAGAAAGAATATTTTAATTTTCGTTTATTAGTTTGTAATGCGTTACACATAACTAAGAATAATTGTAAAATAAATTCCGGTAAAAACTAAACGTTAAAATAATTTATAACTTTTTATGGTTGTTGATATAAATAGGTAGATTTAATTATATTGTAAGGTACACCCTAACATATGCTAGTTACGTCAGTGGCTATGCATAATAAATCAATTTGACATATGTCACCCGTCGGAATTATTGCTAATGTGTAGGGCTTATAATATATAGAAAGATGTATAAAATTAAAAAAATTTATTATGATTTGGAACTGATAAAGTCATACTTTTATATCATAACGACGCAAATTATTTAATCCCTGTCACCAACATATTCTACTAATATTATAATCTATATTGATGTTAATCCAAATTTGACTTGCTTTATAACAAAACGATTTTTCTACACTACTATTATACGTCATCCTATTTTAAAATACTAATTAGGTCTAAAATTTAAAATGATTTAAAATTTGTTAGATTATTTTAATTTAGGTTCTTTTTTTCTCAAATTTTTTTTTTTTTAAAAGCAGCCCTTTAAGAGCCGATATCTTTTTATTCTCACAATTTGCTTGAATTATGCGGGTTTGTTTGTAAAATATTTGTTTTTTAGTTCATAAAATAACTTGAAACTTCTAAAATTTTATATCTACGTTATATTTATTTAATTCTAATATATTATAATTATTTGTTGAAATGGTTTTTAAAAAAATTTAAGCATAAATTCTATTAATGTTTTATAGTAAAAGTAGTTATGTAACCCCCTTACTAATTTTTGGAAAAGGGATGAGATAAAATCTTAACTTTCGATAACAATAAACTTATTACTGATTGGTTATAAATTACAAAAGGTTATTTTTGTGCTTAAATAAACAAAAGACTGGCTCGCCATTTGCAATTTTTATGGCAAAGTGTATATTGGGCGTTTTTTCATGCTGCTTTGCTAAGTTGATTAAATAAGAAAGAACCTTGAAGTAAGGTAGATTTTAAAGAAAAACAAGAAATGACTAACCCTGAAACTGAAGTTCAACAAGAGGTTTCTGTAAAAGCTTTGAATACAGATAAAACGCACCACGAGGAAATTAACGTAGAAGTTCCTAACGGTACTGAAAATGGTCATCTTGAAAATGAAACACCAAAAGTATCTCCAGTAAAAACTGTTGACAATGTATCCGAAATTACCTCGGAAACGGGATCAAACGAAAAAAATCAAGTTAGTTCTTCAGCTGAAAAGAAGGGAGAAGAAGTGATTCCAAAAGTATTGTTACATCAATATCCTCCAGCAAAGTCTATTCCAAGCTTGTCTCCTTTTTGTCTTAAATTAGAAACATTCATGCGACTTAATAAAATTCCTTATGAAAATCATTACAGTTTTAAAGTAGGAAAAAAAGGTAAGATGCCTTGGATAGAATATAAAGGGGAACGAAAAGCAGACTCAAATTTTATTATTGAGTTTTTGACGGAAAAGTTTCAATTAGACACTGATACAGGTTTAACTGATGAAGAAAAAGCATTAGGTAGAATGGTTAGAGTTGCTTTAGAAGAAAATACAGTATATGCATTAAAATACTATCGATATATTGACAATTTTATTGAGTATAAAAAGTTAATTACACCACCTAATTCAGGTCTTGGACATAATGTGGGCCTAAAGATGACACAGCGAAAAATTAAAAATGTTTTAGAAGTTCAAGGAACTGCTAATCATTCGAAAGATGAAGTTTACCATATAGCAGAAGAAGATATTAAAGCTTTGTCAATATTGTTAGGAGAAAAAGAGTTTCTTTTAGGTTCAAAAATGACATCATATGATTGTTCCTTATTTGGACTGTTTGCAAACATACTCTGGAGTGGTTTCGAAACTCCTCTTTCTGTGTTCATTAAAGAAAAAGCACAAAATTTAGTTCATTATTGTGAGAGAATTAAAGAATTTCTTTGGTCTGATTGGTCTGAAATGATTTTGAGTGAGAAATATGAACCTACCCTGAAAAAAGGATTTAGTTTTCGTAAAAAAAAGATTGCCAAACCTGTGAAAGTCAAGGAATCAGAACCTGAGCATACTGCTGAAAAGTCTGGCGAATCATCAGAAGTAAAAGATGAATCACCCGAAACAAAAAAAGAATCACTTGAAACTAAAGAAGAATTACCAGAAACAAAAGAAGAATTGCCAGAAATAAATAATGCAACAATAGAAGACAACGAAACTAAGGTTGTAATCAATATACAATCAGAAATTAAAGATACTGTTGTTGAAGATAAAACTTCAGACCATGAGAATAAAAATTTACACCAAGATAGTGATAAAATAATTGAGCAATCAAATCAAAATGGAGAGACAGATGTAGCATTAATAAAATCTGAAGAATGAACATGTTTTTAAATTTATGGTGAGCTTTTTATTTTGTTAATTGAATTTTGTCCTTTTTTCTATAAATGTATATTTAAAATAATGAATGGAAGTTTTGATATTCACAATGAAATGGTTTTGAATTATATAAAAAGAATATTTAATGAAAATTTAAATTATAAAGGTTTCTATTGAAAAATTATTTTTATAAATTACAAAAGGATTCTCCTGTTTCATAGTAATTCATAATGTGCTGTTTTTTCTTTTCTTTTTTTTAAATAGTTATGACTTTTTTTAATTCAAAGTTTTCTTGCTACAAAAATGTTTTTATTTTATCTTTTAGTAATTTATTAAATTGTTGACATTCATCAACTAAACCTTTGAATCACGTAAAGTTGGCACAAAGATGGAGAAAATTCTGTTTGGTTATCCACGAAAAAAGTTACATCATAATTTAGTGATTTTGAACATTTATTTGGAATCTAACTAAAATTTCAAATTGTTTTTACGATTTATTTTATCGCTTTAAAGACTCAGTTTTTAGTTCTTTCTGCTACAATATTTTTTTCTTAGTTCAAATATTTTTCAGTTCTTTTAAATTATTGTACAACACTTTGGTCAATTGGTCAGAGATTTATTTGCACTTTTTCTGTTGTATATTATAAAATGTTAAAAACTCAATTTCAATGAAAGTGTAAATTATTAGTTTTTCTTACTTTTTATATTGAGTAAAATATATTTATCTTAAAAGAATGTCAAGTATTATTTAGTTAATATTAATTGCTTTATGTTAGAACTGTGTTTTAAAATTAAGTGTTGTATGTTAGGACTGTGTTATAAAAATTTTAATACTTTGTAATCCTAAGATGTATATGTGTGTATATATATATATAATATATATATATATATATATATATATATATATATATATATATATATATATATATATATATATATATATATATATATATATATATATATATATATATATATATACCAATGGAATAAAAATCTATAAGTAAATAAAGTTTTAAGTGCTATTAATATAATAACCACAGTTCGTTTTTAGAAATATTTAAATGTAAAATTTATTATTTTTTGGTAGTTTTTAGGATTTGCTGTTTCGAACTTAGATCTCTCAACTAAAGCTAGAATTTGAAACAAAAAATTTTAGCTATTATATTTTAAAATTTCTGAAGAATTTCAAAAACTGGTTTTGTAGAGATTGTTTTCTTAAGGATTTGTTTTTTAAATATGTTACTTTACGTTGGTGAACGAAAAATTATAAAATATTTTTTTGTAATAAATTTTGTCCAAATTGATGGTAAAATGTGTCTTGTCTACGAAAACAATCGTTTCTTTAACTGTCTATACGTTTCAACTGTTTACTATTTTGAAAATGTAAATAAACAGTGTTTTGTTTTGAGAACATTTTTATGTTTTTGAGAACGTGTTTTTGTTTATCCGTTCGTGACAAACTTAAAAAATATTTGAACTACCAAAGATTTTTGTTTTTTTAATAAACGGGAATATAAAAATTGTTCTGTTTGATTATGAGAAATTAATTATTCCTTAGATCACCGAGCTGCTCCTCGTTGATGGGTTCTAAATTTTTTTTAAATGAAAAGTTTTTAACTAGAAACCACTACGAGAAATAAGTTATGTATAAAAAACGTTAAAAAGTTTGCATGGGCGTTTTGATCTTTAAATAATGTTAAACCGGGTTTATATCTATTTTCCTCATACATATATATATATATATATATATATATATATATATATATATATATATATATATATATATATATATAATATATATATATATATATATATTATATATATTATATATATATTATATATATATAATATATATATATATATATATATATATATATATATATATATATATATATATATGTTATTATGCACAGCACAGCCATCAATTTCTAAAAAAACGCTTTCTATATCTTGAATATTCTTAAAAAAAGAAAAAATGTCCTTTAGAAAAAAAGTCTTAAAATAATTTTTGATTGGCAATATTCTAAGTTTTGTTTTTAATAAAGGTGAAAATGCAAAACTGAATGTTATGTTTAGCTGTTTTAAAAATTAGTCAAAGGTCAATACAAAGAATAAAAAATAAAAATACATTTAAAAACTAAACATTGTGTCGATTTAAAAACTAGTGTTTTACAACAAGATATGGCTTCAACTTACAAAGAAAAAAAGCAGGTAAACAGAAGCCTAAAATTTCCATCGACTGCGAAGATGATGAACTGATTCCAAAGGAAAAGGTTAGAACAATTGACACGTTTTTCGTTTAAGAAATTTTGATGAAAAATATGGTATAGCGTATGTTTGTTAAAGACAGCTTCACATTTAATAATTTTTGTACATCTTCAGTCAATGGTAAAAAAAAATTCAGGTTCAATAAAAAGCGACATAATAAAAGAATTTGTAACACTAAAGAAAGAAAACCAAGAGTTTTCCATAATACTTAACGAATGGGCGCCACAAAATAATCTTTAATAATAAGACTTTTTTTTATTGAACGTGTGTATGGAGCCAAAACACATTTATCGTGGATTGATTCAAATTGTGTAAAGCAGAAGAGTTTAGATATTGACTTCCAAAAATATATTATTGCCATGACCACTCATGGAGTAAGAGTGACGGTGAAAGTAGTTCGATTGTTGCTATTAACAACTATTTTATAGCCGTGTAATATAACTTGTGGTTATTAATAGCTTGTTTAATAGAAATAATAGAGAAGTTGAAGAAATGCTGGCTACGTATAAAACTTATGAAAAAGAAGATGAACAAGATACCACTGATGGTAATGAAGTTATATATGAAGATTGCGGTTTGACAATAATTTTGGATTAACCATCAGTTAATCCAAAGTTACTGTCAAACCGCAGTCTGACAATAATTTTAGATCAGTTTTAAAATTATTGATCAACCATTAGATTCAAAATTATTGTTATGCATCAAAAAAGCTCTAATTGACATTACATCAGAAATATGTTTCACAAATGAAGAATGGTCTTAAATCAATGATTTAATTCTTTACCTGGTACTACTAAAACTTGATTTCGAAGTATTATTCAGAAGAGAATTGGATCTCATCACTGCGGAAACAACCTTTTCATTTATATTAGATAAATTAGATCAACTATATACAGTTTTGAGCATTGATTGATGAGCTGAGTAAAAGATTTACTTAACGTTGTAATAATAATTTAATATTGCCATCAAGCGTAAAAACCGTGCGAGCCTTTTTAATTGCTGGTTATATATGCAGTCTTTTAAGAAGTAAATTGGAGATGGTACTTTAAATAGCGTCTGGTTATTAAAATCACAATTCTTGCAATAGTTCTCTTACATTTTATATTTAAATGATAAGTTACGTTAATGTTTTTTGAACTTATACTTAAAAACTTTTTTTTTTTTTATTCAAAGTTAATTCAAATTATATTCAATTACAAATGAATTGGCTTATTTTTATTTACCACACCTTCATACATATTTTAAAAATCGATTTTTGAGCTTATTATCCTGAAATACTTGAAAGATAAGTTAAATTGTCATTTATAATGTGTATAAGAAATCAATCCCGTTGGATTCCGCAGGAATTTAAAGATCAAGCAGAATTAAAAAATACTCACGTCTGTCATAAAATTTAATTTTTGAACTATTTATTCTAAAAAAATATTAGGAAAGTTTAAAAAACGAATTCGTACCATACTTTTACTTGAGTTAAGAATATATATTTTTTTTATTATAAACTGTCATTTATAAGCTTTACCTTAAAATCAAATATCAAAAGAAGATTTAAAAAAAAGTATAGATGCTACCATAAAATCACAAAATCATTTTCATTATTTGAAGATAAAAAAGTGTTAGAAAAACTTTCTGAAACACAGTTTGTCACAAATGAGGAAGTTATTCCTTAATTTTTATTACAGGTATGATTAAAACATTGAGTTGATTAAAAACTATTATTAAATATTAGTGTCCAAGAAACTTTTATTTTCTCAAGGATACCTCTCAAGTTTTTCTCATTCTCTGAAGTCCCTAGAGGTTAAAAACCAACAGAAAAAAAAATCAGTTGTCAAAAAACTGATAATTGTAAAACTTTACAAGATTGAGTTTTTTTGGAAAAAAATTACGTCAATTTGGGATTAGTTTGTGAGAAAATTTTTTTAATCTTTTTTTTTATTAAACTTATTGATTACACTTAAGTTGAATAATAATATTATTAGTTCGGGTATGCTTACGCCAAACGCTATATGGCTCACAAACAAGGTTAAACCTCTGATACATATATATTTTTGTTTTGCACAAAAAAACGCAATTTAAATTCACTTTAAAAGATTTTCATGAATCAAATAAGCACGAGAATTCCGGTATTAATAGAAGAATTATTTTGCTCATATTACGCAAAACTTGTGTAATTTAGGCTTAGACTAACAATAGACTTGTCGTTTGTTTATTTTATTTTTAACAAAATCTGGACCTTGTTTTATTTATAAACATTATACTTATAAGTCGCTGTTGGTCAATTAAAAAGGTAAATTTAGATACTCAGTTTAAGTAAGACGTGTTTGAAACTTTTGAGAGTAATTGAATAAATGAATGCATGTTATTTAATTTAATGTTTCGTATTATTTTCTAAAATGGGTCGTCTTCACAAAAAAGCCGCTGTGTCAGTGTTTTTGTAATGGGTGTGTGAAACAAGGCTGGTTTTAAAGAACTCAATATTTTTGGAGTAGCTTCCAGTTAAAAAATGTTTGATTATGAAAAAAAAAGATAAATACAAACCTAAATGAAAAAAATAACTGTATATAAGTAATTAATTAACTTAAAAATAATGCTTTTTTTATATTATTAAGAAATAAGATTTTGAAGCTAACTATTGTAAGTCATCTTACAAGATTAAGTATTGCAAACTCATCTATCTAAGAAATTTAAATTGGGATTCCAGCATTGGTAGATTTAACAAGATGCAGGAAGATTTCATACAGAAGAGTAACAAACTCTTCGACGTATCTGTGAAGAAGTCTAAGGGGAAGATCAACTTCGTTGTCAAGAGGTCAAGACCAGAGAGAGGATAGAAAAATGTACAACAGAGGTAGAAAAAGAATTGGAAATATCTGTTAAAAACAGACAGGAGCGGTGGCGGAAAATAAAGAACATAAAAAATACAAACGGACAAAAAAAAGGGACCTGGCTCTAAGTGAGGTTTCTTTTAATTCCGATGCAATTATTTTGCAGCATCATGCAATAAATTACGCGTGAATCTTAAAAATCTCTAAAAGCTCTATTCATCAAAAGAGATTCAAGAAGTTTGAAGACCTAGGTAAAAATAATTAGTAGAAAAAAGCTAGGATAAATAAAGATTTAGTTACAAATAAAGTGATAAAGTTATTTTAATTATTAGGAGACCAGATAAAACAAGGTATAATGGAAAATTTGAGAAGAGACTTGTTCTGCACTTTAACAGCCAAAGTATCAAAGAAATTGAGGAGAATTTGAGTATTACTGTTACTGTTACTTTAAAAAGAAATCTGTTAGTGCTATTTCACAAGATATTGATGACACAAATGATATCCTTCTTGGAAAAGTTCAAGCTGAAAGCTCTAAAGAAGTTGACTAGGCAGATGTAATCTTTCAATCTCCTATTACAAAATTGGTGATCAGATCTTTGTCATATGTTGTAACACCACTGCTTATTCCAATCAAACCTTGTCTTC